AATAAATTGAATACAAGCTGAAAGCATCAATCTAAGCTCACATTGAAGTAGATTCTCACATTCAACTGTCTCAATTTGGCTATTAATTTACATAGAACAGGGGAGCATATATTTTGACTGTTTTTGCATATTACATGTTTCATGAAAAGAACATTACACCATGCTGTAATCTCATCATACAAAAAATACATGGAGACAAGCTTGTTACCTAGATCAAAACTGACTTCTTGGTTCAATTACTGAATAGATGGAGTCAAGCAATTTGAAAGCGTTTTATTGTGAACGAGAAAAAGATACGAAAAAAGGATTTAAGTCCATTAAAGATTCCGGTCTTCCACCTCTTGTTTTCTACTTTTGCTTTTTCTAAAGATCTGGAACTTTGCACACTTGGAACCCGATTCTGAGGAAGAATGAATTGTCGGGTTGGATTTGTAAGGTGCCAATAAAGATTCCAGGGGTGCCAGGCGAGCACAAAGACTGACTAGGGACGGACGGAAGGGACTGAGCCCAGCACTGACCGAAGCATAAGAGCTACTGACTTTCGGCTGGTATGAATATGAATGATAGGAGTAGAAGTCTTGGGGTAGTGAGTATGTTACGAATGCGCTGACTGTCTGTGATCAAGATAATATCCTAGCGAGCCAAGCATGCCCGAACCAACTTACCCAACCTTACCCTGACCTTCTGACCTTAATGACTGGGATTACTATGACTGCCTGAGGTTAGGAAGCGGGGAAAGTCTAGCCTCTTCAAGAAATCACAGGCTTAGTGAAATCAGAAAGGGAGGGTTAATTGCCTTCTTTCTTTTAGAACTGAAAAAGGACGAAAAGTGATGGAAGATACGAAAAAAGGATTTAAGTAAATAAATGGACGATAAGAAATTCTCCAACAACAGGACAGGAATTCCATTTCAAAGAACAGGAAAGCATTTAGCCCTTCTTTTTTTCAAGAATCTTCACTGTTCCTACAACTGAATCCCTCGTTATCACACCCTATTCTGTAATTCAAATTCTTTTTTTGTAGATCCACTGTTAAATTTCCATAATATGCATACCTGAAGGTTAACAACAAGAATGAAGGGAAGCTTTTTCCCAGCTTCTGACTGCCACCAAAAAAAAAAAAAAAAATCAGTCAGGTAGCAAATAGCTTGATTTGGAAGTAAAAGTGTAAAACAGCAAAAAAGAAGAAGGAAAAGTCTCTTACCAGAAATAACTAGCTTAAATATTCTTAAGCATGTTTTCTAATAATGTCTAAAAGAAGCAACTTTTACTTCTTTTTCCTAAAACTTAGCAAGTAGCTCACAGGCACAATTAAGAACATTGCTGCTTATAGCATTATCAATACAAAAACAACCTATAAGCTTCTGGAATTCCTACTTTAGAGGTTGCATGCCATTCATTAGTAGAAGAAGTTCTAGCAGCACCATCCAGGAGAATGGTGTAAGTTATTTTGTGCAAATTGAAAACTAAACTGAATGGACTTATTTGGTTTATCTTTGTTTTGTTTTAACATTTTTTACAAAAAAGGGAGAATCAAAGAAACCAAATTGAATTGTTTGGTCTGCTTTGGTCAAATTTGGAAATGAAGAGAACTGAAAACCAAATTTCATAAATAATATCATAAATTAATAAATATATTGTGTATGTAATAAAAATTATATACTTTACAAACAGTTTCTATTTACTTTTATCATATATTATTTAATAGCAATATCTCCTATTTTTACTTGAATGAAATATTATATAAAATTTAAAAGTATAAATATACATGTAAGTAGATTAAGATGTTTTATTATTATATGAATACAATGTTTTAAAAAAGTTAAGGCTCAAACTCAATTATAATGGTTTGTTTTGGTTTAGATATATACATATTTGGGTCAATTTGGCTTCTAAAATTTAGAAACCAAAAGTTTTCAGTTTACTTTAGATTTTTCCTCCAAACAAAACCAATTTTACCATTCCCCAAATTTGAGGGGAAATCTAATGGAAGATGAGTGCCTTCTCTGTGTCCCCATTTCTGTCATAATGTTGATGCTCTTTCACTCTCAATCACCAGGAAAAAATTCATAATGTCAACTAAAGCATCTACAAAACTAACATTTGTTTCTGTTAAGTAGGTTATTAAATCAACAAAACCTCAGTTTGTTTCTGTTTAATTGAAACACCAGCTTAAACAAACACTACTGTCATTTAACTTAAAGCTATAAACACTAGTTTTATGAATGAAGCAAAATAAGCAAAGATGGTTGAAGAATGACCCGTCAGGCAACAACATAAATGACACAACCCTTGCCAGAGTCACTCCCTGATTCACATTTATTCTTAAACTTTATTATTACATTTCAATATATTTATAATATTTTAATAATTTATATTACTATTATTTGTCACACCCTTGTTGGCACTTCTATAATTTTCTGTAGTATCTCTAAGAGCTTCTCAAAAAATTACCACTAAGACCTGTAACTAAAAGTTTTACTAGTTTTACCATAAGGCCTGCTGCAGTGAAAAACATCAGCTATAACTGTAAGCAATAAAAAGTTACTTAGGTTCAGGTCAAACATACAAGAAATTTTACAGTAATAGGAAAAGAAGAAACTTCAGAAAGAAAATGGACCATAAAGCATAATAAACTGGGCAGTACAATGACTTGTCCAATTGTGTTTCCCAGAGATCACCTAAACCACTGTGGAAGAAAACCAGTATTAATACCTGAACTAGACACCTGGGGTGCAATGCAACTTTATCTATGGCTTCATCAACTTTAAACCAATCAACAGCTATGAGCTTGAGAAGCGGATCTCCACCCATAATCTGAAAAGCCATTATGTTTTGTCAGTACTTAGTACTTCAGCAAGAATTTAAGATAAATGTCTCCGTTTGAGTAGTGGTATTTGGATTAGTATACATGAGTGTTAAAAGTACAAACAGCACAAGGATTATCTTCTTACATGTGTGCCATTTTTGTCCGACACCATATTTGACAATCATTTTTTTCCATTGTGATGTGCCATGACAGTTCAAGATAGACTCTTATGCTCTCTTGATGAGTGGAATTTTGTCCAAACACATTTTTTTTATAGAAAGGGAAACAATATTAAAATTCCTTTTCTCAACAGTTCACGATATTAGACTCATTGTTTTTGCACCTTGCTTGGTCCTTGAATGAATATCAAGCTAAGCCACCAGAATGTTCCAAGTTGGTTCCCATTATTTTGCTTTATGCTTCTTTCATTCCCCTTTACCATAATGCCCTAATGCCCTTTAAACTGATTACAGATAATATACTCTCTTTAACACCATCATCCTGCAAAGAGATTGACAACAACTAATTTGTTTTGTTTCTTCCTTTTTTATTTTTATTAGGAGGAAGCAGTTTCTTCTCTTCTCTCTCTAATAAAACTTCTCTTTTTAAATCTAAAAAGTAAAAAGAATATCACAGGATTGGTGTTCTAAATGCTGAATCTGAGACAATCTAATGGAATTATATGGAGACCAAAGGCATTACAGAATCAATGCAGATTAAATTTCTTCCTTCTTGAATCAGAAATATGTGGACTTTTCTTCACAAAGCAAATGGCTGCCTGATGCAGTGATGTATATAGGTTCCACTTTGGAAACTGGTTTATTCAGGTTCTAGCCTAGTCTGTTGTGTTTTACAATTATGTCTTCCCAAGGTAAAAAATATAATGCTTTTTTTATTTATAGTAAGCAATGGAACATGGTAAGAACAAAAAGAATAATAAATGCCGAACATCTTATTATTTTTTTGAAGAAGTAAAAGGAAGCCGACCTTGGAATTATCTTTCAAGTAAGTCTTTCCTCTGATCATGAATCCCATGCCACTGGGAGATGTCCAACAGTTTGAGTCAGAATCACTCTTTCCTTTCTGCAAGGTCCCCTGGAACTGGCCCAGGTCAATATTGATGGGGGCAACACTTGAATCTAACTCTTTACTTGCATCTACGGCTGCATTCAGAATGATTCCGATGTCTCACATTTTGTCATCAGTATCATGTCATTACTATTCTTTTCAAAAATAAAACCAAATAAGTATTTCATTTACTTTTATAGGGAAAACATAAATCTAGCAATTTACTGAGTTGACTTATCAAATATCCACTATATTACTTCTTATCATGTTTCACCTATAACCTTCCGTGTATTCCAAACTGTGACTTATAGAGCAGGTTTAGCAAAATATGGATCGGATGTCAACGGTTAGAAGACCAACAAGCACAGAGGTGTATATGAATGTAGCCTGTGGATTATGATTCAACAAAGAGTAGACAGCTTTTCTGAACAACATCAAACTTGTGGGGGGTAACAGATAAGAAAAAGTTATATTCTGGTATTATAATTGAATTGAATAAAGGCCTTTAGGAAATATCTTCCCGAATATCTTCGACATGGTTACTTTCAATTAGGCAGGCAAGTTATGGATTGTTTTACGGTGTATAATGGTGTAATCTAGTGGAACATCCTTTTCCCCAAACCTCAATGATTAGGCAATTGATAGTCAGAGGCTTCTGGAGAAATATGCCACTGATCCATCCAAGAAGGATATCCCTTATTGGAAGATCCCTAAAAATTGAACGTTTTTCATTTAAGTTGTTCTACAATCAACATGATGAGGACCAAATTTTAGATTGTTTTCCGCGGAAACAAGTGCGGAAAACCAAAAGCCTCATTGTGCATTGCTTTAATATTATTATTATTATTTTTTGCTCGGGAGGCACCATGGATAGGATTCCAACTTTGGTCTCAACCTCTACTGAGTGGTGGGCACTTCCATAAAGGATTATCTGCAGGGTGTGGAATGGTATTGCTTCTCACAAGTCTAAGAAGATATCTCTATCACTCATGCTTGTATTTGGAAAGTATAAAGTGGCAGAGCTTTTGACAACTCCTCTTCCTCTTTTTAAAAGATTAAGATCAATTGTTTAGTATTCTTCGTGTTTTTCTTAAATGTTACCCCATCTCTGATGGAGTTGACATTTAGGATTTTTTTAATCTTCTCTGCTCTAGGAAAATGTAAATTCTGTATGTTTTTTCTATTGGCTTGCACCCCATTGGTGTTCTTAATAAAACCTGAAAAAATTCCAAACTATAATTTTGCATTACAACAAATATTAAATTATAGTAGCCTAATTAATAAGTCTCCTTTTAGCAAAACAAGAGACTATTAACATAAACAGAACAGTCGATTCACAAATGCAGAAGATAGTTCCCATAAGACCATTAAAAAATATAGTTTTTTCCTTTAACAGAGAAGACCATTGACAATGATTATGCACCCTAACTTTGAAAAGAGAAAATAAAAGTTAAAGCCAAGAGAGAACCTGAAGTTCGTTTCAAAGCTAAGCTCTGAATAGCCCAAGAAACATTCTTCAACTTGACTTTGATCTCCTAATAATTTTTAGAGACAAGTATGAGCAATAGAACCTCGGAATATCGTAATAAACATTTAGAAATGAATTTTATAACTGAAGAGTCCTGTAACTTAAAATTTTCCATTATGGTAAATGGGAGAGAGTTGAAATAAAACTCTACGTTCAATGAAAATTAAATAGAAACAGAAAACCTTCTTGTCTTGTTCCTGATCATCATCACTGTCTTCCTCTTCAGATGATGAATCAGTTGCATCATAAAACTGATCTTGCACTTGTACATCTTCATAATCATCCATGGAAGAAGAAATATCAGGAAGCTTTGAATGTAAGACCGTGGTGGAAGATTCATATTTGAGTGCTGGATTTGCCCCAATAAACTCCTTCAGACCTGCAAACAGGGAAAAAAATTGTCCTTAGGAAACTATCTGAAAGTGTATATATATACATATATAACTACTCTGTAAAAAAGGGTATATTAGTAAAAATGCCTATCTAATTAAGTGCTTGGGTGTGATTAGGTTTTCTTTTTTGTTCTCTTAAAATTGTATATATAGGAGTAGGCTATTCAATAATAAACATAACAATCTTTTTCCCACATGGTATTGGAGCTATAAGAGAAAACGAATTCTTAAACCCTAAACCAGCCTTCATTGCCACAATAAACTCCTCCCAGAACCAGACTTCATTGCTGGTGTTACATCTAGTCACTGCCCAGCAAAATCCAGCTGCAAACAGCCAGAGCAGCACCTCGGGGCCAGTTCTGCTCTGTTTTTTTGCACAGTTCTGCGCTGTTTCGCACTCTGTTTTGCTCTGTTTCCACGTGCAGGTTTGTTCTGTTTCTGTGCTCAGTTCTGATCTATTTTTGCGCACATATCAGCTCTATTTTGAGATTGTGTTCCGCTCTCTTTCCATATTCAGTTCTCTGTTTTTGCACTATGTTCTGCTCTGTTCGGCTCTGTTTTTCTGCTCCGCTTCAGCTGCAGCTACTCTCTTTTCCAGCCTCTGCTGCGCATCCTGCCTCTAGCCACATCCTGCCCTACTGGAGCCTTGATTGCTGGCACTCTGTTGCCACTTCCTGACCGGCCTTAATAGCCACAATCGGCATTCATAGCCACCAGAAAGTAGCACCAACCAGTCCTTGCCACACAGTTCTTGTTTGTTGACTTTATTTCGTTTGGCTTCTGGTTTCCTGGGCTACACAGCACCTGAGCTATTTGCTGACATATCCAAAATAACTTCAACAATCTGCTGGACAATTCAATCAGGAGGAGAATAAGAGGCTAAAAAATGTCCTTGTAATTCTAGAAAAAATCGCAGGTACTGGTTCACTGGCAGTAAGTTCCTCACATGGTTTAAATTACTTTGACAAATCCTTTAAAGATCCATAGGTTATTAATTCAGGAGCCATAGATCATATGCATTCCACATATAACTTTGACACATATGTCCCTTCTCCTAGCAACCGGAAAATAATTATTGCAGATCGTTCACTAATCATTATAGCAGATATTGAAGATGTCAAGATTGGTCCTTCATTTACTCTTAAGAATGTGTTTAGTGTTCTTAATTTTTTCGCTAATCTTGTGTTAATAAAGAAGTTGTCTCATGATATAAATTGCAAGGTAACATTTTCTCTCTCTCACTGTGTATTTCAGGATTAGGAAAGAGATGATTATTGAACGTTCTCAGGAATGACGAGTTCACGTCTTGGAGGAACCTGAGTTACCTCCTTCTCTTTTCTCTGAACAACCTAACTCCAGTACCAACAAAATTTGGCTCCATCATTGAAGACTCAAACATCATTCCTTTTTGGTTTTTAAGGTTATGTTTCCCTCTTTGTTTAAAAGATTAAATAGTGAAAATTTGCATCATGATATATGTGAACTAGCTAAACACAAATTGGTAACTGTTCCTATTAATAATACAAGAAGTTCCACTTATTGCTTTAATTCATAATGATATTTGGGAGACCATCCATATTTAAAAAAAAAAAAAAGATATTTGGGAGACCATTCAACATTTTTAATATCTCAGGGGCTAGATGGTTTGTCATTAATGATTGTACAAGAGTCATCTGAATATTTTTGCTCAAGTCTGATGCGAGTTATGTCATTCTACACCTTCATAATATGATAAAAATCCAATTTTGAGTCCACTAAAGTGTAGAACTAACAATGTCTGAGATTTTATTAATCAAACCCTCTCTTTGTATTTCTATCAGGAAAGAATTATTCATAAGTCATTTTATGTTCACACTCCACGACAAAATGGAGTAGAAAAAAGGAAAAATAGTCATTTACTCGCTATATTTGAGCATTTTTGTTTCAAAACCATGTCCCTGAATAATACTGGGGGGAACCTATCCTTACAGCCACATACCTCATTAACTGATTACCATTAAGGATTTGGACTTCAAAAGCCCAACGGAAATCCTTCCAAGTTCTTCCCAGAAAATGACAAACAATCTTGCCCCCAGAATATTTGGTGTCTCGTTTGTTCACAGACATTAATAACATAGAGGTAAACTAGACCCGAGAGCTCTCAAGTGTGTCTATGCAAGATACTCTGCAACCCAGAAGTGCTACAAGTGTTACTATCTTCCAATTAAAAAATATTTTATTTTTGCAGACGTTATATATTTTGAGTCTGAGTCTTATTTTAATCGTTCTTACCTTCAAGAGGAGTCTATGGTAGAAGACAAGGATAGAGAACTATTTCTTCTTGACCTGCCCTTACGTCAAAGTGCACCTCCCTCACCTCAAAATCCATACACCTAGTCAGAAATAGACTCACTACAAGATTTAGAAAAAGATCTGAAGTGATAATGACCAAACATCAGTAACCTTACCTGGCCTAAGGTTTTCTAAAGTGTGCTCAAAGAAGGAGAAACTGAATCCTAAATCAAGGTAGGTCCAAATAGGAAACTCAGATTCTGAAAATGAGGAAACATTTGATAATTTATCATCTGATGTTAATTTACCTATTGTAACTTGGAAAGGAACTAAGAATTGTACTAAACACTCACTATATCCACTTCCAAAGTTTATGTCCTTTGAAAAATGTTCACAATTTCACAAAAGTTTCCAATGAGCTTGAATGTTGTGTTAATTCCTACTATATTATCTGAGATATTATTTTATGAAAAATAAAAAAAATATTATGAATATGGAAATGTAAGTACTAGAACAGAAAAACACATGAGATGTGGTGGATCTACTTAAAGGAAAGAGGTTAGAGGGATGTAGTAGGTGCTCACCATAAAATACAAAGCTGACGGCACAATTGAAAGGTATAAAGTCAAAGTAGTGGCCAAGGTATCTGCAAACCTCTAGGATTGGCTATCAAGAGATGTTTGTATCTATTGCCGAACACAGTTCGAGTACTATTGTCACTATCTGCTAACTATTACTCGTAGTTTTAATAGTTCGATGTAAAGAATGTCATCCTATATGGAGATATCGAAAAAGAAATATACATGAAAGTTCCACCTGGGTTCACTGGATATGCAGGAACAATAAAGTATGCAGGATAAAAAAGGCATTATATGGACTTAAACAATTACCGAGAGCTTGGTTGGGAAGATTTACAAAAGTAATGTTCGTCATGGGATATAAATAAAGTCAAAGTGACCATACTTTATTCATTAAACATTCATATTCAGAAGAAGCCATAGCTCTGCTCGTGTTTGTCGATGAAATTATTGTGACAGGAAATAATGAGAATGAGAGATTAACAGTTAAACAATGTCTAGTAAAGAAACTTGAGATAAATAACTAAGAAGATTGAATATTTCCTAGGAATTGAGGTGGCTCACTCGAAACAAGAAATTTTCATTGATCAACAAAAATACATTAAAAATCTCTTAAATGAGATAGGAAAACTATTATGGAGACCTACAAGCACACCAGTAGATCCAAACCACATGTTTGGATCTACTGGTGAAGATGTTGACGTCAATAAAGAGATATATCAAAGATGTGCTGGAAGACTAATTTATTTATCATATACAAAGCCAGATATTACAAATGTATTGAGTATAATAAGTCAACTCATGTAGACCTTAACAAAGTACATCTGCACGACTTATGGAGTGTTATGTTGCCTAAAGGATTCCTAAAAAGGTATGTGTAAAAAAGAATATCATTACTCTGTAATCCTATATTAATGCTTACTATGCTAGGTCAGTAGTTGATACAAAATCTACCCACAAATTACTGTACTTCAATAGAGAAAATATCATTACATAGAGAAGTAAGAAGCAAAATATGATAGCAATGTCAAGATACAGAATCATAATTCAGAGCAATGATACAAGGTGTATGCGAGCTGTTGTTGTAACAGATTATCTTGGAGGATTTTGAAGATTAAGTATGATGACCTGACGAGAAGCTATGGTCATGAAAAATTGACAATCAATATTGTCCACAATCCAGTGGCACATGATAGGATCAAACAAATTGAGGGTAACAAACATTTTATTAAAGAAAAATTTGAGGCTGATTTGATCTGCGTGCCCTATTTGCCCTTCAACTGTCAACTTGTAGACGTGCTTACCAAAAGTTTGAGCAACCAAGCATTTTAGACAATCATTACTAAGCTGGGAACAAACAATGTCTATTTACCAGCTTGAGTAGGAGTGTTGAAAAATATATGTATATAATTATTTTGTAAGAAGGGTAAATATTAGTAAATATTCCTATATAAGTGTGTTTGGTAGAATTAGATTTTCTGTGTTGTACATTGAGTGGCAAGACATTTATTAATAAACACAACATTCTATTTCTCATAGAAATTATTCTATTAGTATGTATTCTAAACTGTTCTTGTACCTACCTGTATCAATACCTTTTACTATTATTCAACACAACAACAATAGGAATTTCTAAAGTAACAGATCAATGCATTTTAGGACGCCTAACTTCTACTATTTTTGTTCTTATCACCACTTAGCTTCCTGGCCACCTGGAATAAAGAAGTAAAGGACAAAAGAAAAAGTTACTTCCCAATCTCTACCAATTCTCCAAATTTCTCTTCATAAAAAACTTGTTCCAACTCCTGTTCTTCTCCTTCCTTGCCAGACCAGTATGTTTGCTTAAATTTCTCCCTTCTTGCTTCAATAGATTTTAAGTCATTAAAGCCCAAAGTCAATATTGTTCAGTACCTCCTTTTACTCGGAAACAATATATATGATGTAATCTCTAAATTATAAGTTTCATTTCTATGTTTTTAAAAAATAAATTATTTAATGAGTTTGAACTTGTTCATAATCGAATTCAAGCTCAATGATGCTCTTAGATGCATGTGTGTTATCAACTAAGGAAAAGAAAAGAAAGATCAAAATGGAGAAACTCAACCTGCTACTTGGATTAATAACGCATAGGGGATGCTCTTTTCAAACTTCGAGTGACTATTTTTCTTCCATTTACACCAGCCCTGACAATGTATCTCTAACATTTGCGTCACAAGACATTTTGCAGTATCTGAACCCATTGGTGTGTTCAAACTTCTGATTTCCCATGTAGATGCTATAATCCATACAACAAATGGAAACAAAGGAATAAATTGATGAAAATATAACTTAATCAAGAAAATAGTTTATAATATATATGAGATAGCAAAAGGAAAAAAATGGCAACTGAATTAGGAACTTCTGCATTAAATAATCAGGACAATTTCATGACGACATTAGTAGAGAGTACAACAGAAAAGTAGTATAAAACTTCAAAAAGGAGACAAAAAAATGGAAAAGGAAGACGAGCATAATTTTTCTTTTTCCTAAAAGGAAAAGGGAATCCAGCACAGAATATCACCTTCAAGCAATAAATAGTTTAAAAATTATAAATTAATTTCTTACGATTAATTTTTGTACGTCGATATCCTGATCTTGGCGGCTGCTTCTTATGTACAGCTGGGAATTGCAAGATTGCTGTTCAAATCAATGCAAACATGTGTCAGTGGCATATAGAGACAAGCAACAGTATCTAACATGACAACTTAAAACTGTCTTAACCAGGGAAATGTGAGCATATCAGCCATCAGTCAGAAGCCCTTTGTTATTCTTGTTCTCTACTGTTTCCTTTGAAATAAGGAGCCACTAGACATACTATTGACATGTGTGGTAGAGGGTTTCACAGAAACAGAAAAAGCAGCTACTAAAGCCATCAAAGAATTTGTGGATTCATCCATTCAGATTGAGTATCCATTTTCTAAAGAAAGATGTGTCAGATAGCCAGAGCATTGCTATTTTTCTCAGCAAAAGAAGAAACAAAAAGTGTTTACAGATCAGTTGATATATATTAAATCTCCAAAATCTTTCATAGTAGTAAAAGGATGACACATTACAAAGAACCTATGGTCTGAAATCATCTCGCTCTAATCTTATCCATATCCTCTTCCAACCAATCGAATGTTTTCTTATTCCTTTCTTTCCAAATAACCCGAAATACTGCCAACGAAGTGAGCCCAAATTGTTTCTCCTACCAGTAATACCCTTCCATACCCAAATTTCATCCCTTACACTTCCCGCCATAAACTAGCTATACCCCTCCCATAAGCCAATGCCCATAGACTATACGCTATGGGACAACGAAGAAGAATGTGATCACAGGTCTCTTCCGCTCTCTTATATAAGCAACACCAACTAACCATGATTCTTCCCCTTCTCATCAACTTAGCAATGGTTAACATGCATCCACAACTTGCTTCCCAAGCAAAAGAAGCCACTCTAGAGGGCGCATTCACCTTCCAAATTTGTTCAAGTAGGAAATTGCTCTCTTTGGCTTCTTCTTTTGTTAGATATCAATAAAAGGATGTAGCTCTGAAGTTCCCTGTTGAACTAGGTGTCCAAAATGGTTGATCATAGTCCTCATTGAGAGATACAAAGCATAGACAGCTTAAAAGTGATTCGTATTCATTAATCTCCCAATCATCGAGATACCTCATGACCTTCCCATGCCACACTCTCCCTCCTGCTCCATCCCTATATGCCTCTTTAACTGATATGTCCTTGTATCAAATGATAGCAAAAATCTGAAGAAATCTAGCTTTTAGCACACCTACTTCGCTCCAAGCATCCACCCATAAACCAATACTCTTCCAATTCCCTATTCTCCTTTTGATGCACTCCCTAAATATATCTCTTCTCATATAAATCTTTTTCCACAACTCTTTCGCATGTAGTCTAGCAAGAACAGTAGAGTACCCACCTCGATCCATCACACCAAATTTAGCCTCCATAACCCTTCGGCATAGTGTATCCCCTTCGCCATCTTCAAGGGGAGTCCTTGCCATCCATTAATGATAAGGACATACGTGTTTTTACATGAATTACCCACCAAATCATCCCCAAACTAGTCCAACTTGTTCCACTTGCCAAATCATCTCAATCAATGTCAACATCCTCAACCATTCACACCATACTCATGATAGAAAATAATGTAGTTTGTGATTCAATGAGATTTATGCATGCATATTCAAGATGAAACGACCCAGATTCTTATCTTGTACAAGTTCACGACAAAACACCCATCCTGAGAATGAATTAATGCAGTTCCAAGACTTTATCCTCAACTAGCACATGATCATTATCTTCCTGTTACCATTAGGAAATGAAAAGAGAATGCGCTAAACATCTATTATATCCATTAGTAAATTTAAAAACTCTCACACTCATATAAACATTTTCTATAATATTGAATACTTTTTGGGGAATCCTTCAATCTTGAGGGAGAGTACTAGAAAATCCTTCAATTTTCTGGCTTAATATTAGAAAATTAATCTTTCTAAAAATATTGAATACTCGTTGGGGAATCCTGCTAATATAGTGATTAATTTGATTTGATTTGTTGTAATTAGTTTTTTATTTTTTCTTTTTGAAACAGCTATATATACTCGTATATATGCTCCTTCTCAATATACAAGAAATTTAGTTTTCTCTAAATTCCATAATAACTATTTAGGGGTTAGGGAAGGAGTAGAGGAGAGAGATTCCACAAAATTGATATAATCTATATTGCTCGCAATTAGGTTAGGTGCTTGTATGTGTGTGAATCTGATGCCTAAATTGACAACAAAAGTAGAAATTAATATCCGTAACAAATAACAAATTCTAAAGGCTAATAATTAATTAGTCAATAAAAATTCAAAAAATGGGATGAGTACATTGAATTCAGAGATAAAAAGTAATTAATTATTAATATAGGTCTATAAAGGAGCCGGAAGGATGGTGTACGTAACAAATATAGCCATTAGAACAAAAAGATAGCAGATACATATGTCTAAAGGAAATTGAAAAAAAATCCGGTACTAAATTATATATTACAGAATCAGCATTATGTTGAGAGATTTTGGAATTAATTTGCAGAAAATTAGGAATTAATTTAAGCAGATTTGGGAATTAAAGTTTGTAGGCAGATTTGTTGAGAGATCTTCGAGAATTAATGTACAGATTTTATGAATATTCTAGATCTATAATATAGGCTTAGTTAGTTGTTAGTTTCCATGTTTTGTGTACAATCAATCCTGTAAAAGAACTCATGTAAACTTACTGAATTCAACATGTTACATATATAAAAGATCAAGTTTTAGACATTCAAGACCAAGTAACTTCATAATTGTGTTGTATTTGTTTTGGCCTAAGATTATTTGTGATTATTGTATTATCATGTATCATAGCCTGGATTATCAATTGTCATATCCAATATAGTTGTGACACTAAAATTCTATGCAACCAATGGATTCAGCTAGATGATCAACAACTCCCTCCTTTATATTAATCCCAATTGGCCCCCCCTTCGCCAAGTTTAGTTTAGAAACTTAAAAAAGTGTCTTTAGAAACAAAGCAATTTTATCATCTTACTATATGTTCCGTCTTGGCCACGAAACCACTGTCTTGAGAAGACAAAATCTCTCTTTGACTGCCATCTGCAATATATGCTATATAAGAAATAAATGAGAGGTAATAACAAACAATATAACATAAGTGGACCAAAGAAGATATTTTCAACTACTGCAACAAATAAAAAAATGACAGTCACCATCATTCTAGACAGGAAGAAAAATAAATAGTAACCTAAATATTGTTATTAGAGCATGCTACCATGTTATGTGGGTTCACAAGTATTTCCATGTAAAACTATCAAGTTGAAAACTGAAACTTCTAACTACCCGCATAGGGAAAAAAATTAAAAGTCGAAAGTTTCCATGAAATGAGATAAACCATCTAATAGCAGCAGAGCTCGAAACAGATAGGAGAATGGAAGTAGATGAGCAAATTTTTGGCCAAAATAATTCTAGGCACAAATGAAAAATGAAGCACGTTTTAATTCAGATAACTTATATAAGATGCTAGTTTGAGTAGCATAATACCAGAATATAACATAAATATTTTCTTTTAACTAAGAATGTGACTTAATTAAGGAGAATCAAAACTGTAGAACTAAAGGAGAAGCATGATGGCCCCTACTAAAAATGTTACTAGTAAGTACTTAACATTGTATGT